CATTCCTGCTCCGCATTCTGGCCGATCCCCCAGGACCCCTTCCATCTCCCTATATGAGAGATAATATATATGGAGACAGCTCCAGAGTTAGGTGGCTCAAACCCCAACTCTGTCTCTATCACTTAGCCAGCGATCAAACCTTAGAAAACACATGGACAGATTCTGGGCCCCCGTTTACTCATCTGAGAAACAGCAGTCGTGGTTTAGAAAAGCAAATTCTTCACAGAAGAAGATTAAAAGAGATAATACACAAAATGAGTTTGGAACAGTGTCCCTTAGAGAAGCCTTCCCTGACCTTCCTACTTAACAACTGCAATCTCATCATCCCCACTCCATCTCATCATTCCCTTCCCTGCTGTGTTGTTTCCTCCATAGGCCTTATACCACCATTTAACATACTGTCTATTTTACTGATCATTCCCTCCCTCTCCTCACTGGAATATAAGCTCCAGAAGAGCCAGGTCTGTTGTTGTCATTGTAGTTGTTGTCTTCCTGCTGTATTTCCAACGTCTAGAACGGTGTCTCACACACAATAAACATTCAATAAGTACGTGTTGGTTGGATTAATTAATTAATTAATGCCTAGCACATGGTAAGCACTCAGTAAATAATAGCTGTTATGAGTATGTATTAAGTATTCTCTATCATGAAAATATATTCTGTCCATTCTTTACTTGTCATAGTTTCTTTCTGGTCTTCTGACTCCATTGGCTCAACGCTTGTCTCTGTAAATCTTGGTAAGCTCAGTACTACTGGTCAAATTGATGCAAACAAACCCCTGCTGAGTAAGACCTCACTACAGTAATAAAAATAGCAACTTGTATTGAGCTTCTGCTATGTGGCCGGCTTTGTGCTGAACATTATTTTTCTTCTCCTTTCCTCTGGGACCTGAGGTTCACAAAATTAGAAGAATTGTCATGACTGATCCATTTCCAATGTTCTTCCTTTTATTTCACTTTCTTTCTTTTCCCATCTAAGATCCTTTTCACCATCCCAAAGGCACTTACTCCTTCACACTATTTAGTGTGAGTTTTTCGATCCGCCTTTCATGAACAATGGCGTATTGTTTTATGTGAGCACAAGAGTATACTTATCTAAATGTTATTGCGCAATCTGTCTCATTCTGTTTCTCACTGTTTTCTCTCTAACTTTTGATTTTGATCATCCACCCAGTTTGACATATATTGATGTTGTTCACTCTGTTTACTCACTGTTGAGTATTTCACCATATTTGTGTTATGGTTTTTGCTTACATGTTCTTTCATCCTCACTAAAACTCTGAGATATAGGTACTGTTTTTTCCATTTCTGAGATAAGGGAATAAGGCTTAGGAAGGTAAATAACTGCCAAGGCCATTCAGCTGGAGAAGCCATGAATTAAACCCATCTCGCTCTGATTCCAATGTTCCCGTCTTCTCACTCTACAAAATGGATTTAATTACTGTAAGATTTTTGAAATAATGTCTGAAAAAACTCCTCTACCTCTTGGTCATTTTATATGTCCAAGATATTGCTGTTAAAACTAGTAGATATGTGTATTTAAATTAAACCAGAGTTGGGCTTCCCTGGTGGCGCAGTGGTTGAGAGTCCGCCTGCCAATGCAGGGGACACGGGTTCGTGCCCCGGTCCGGGAGGATCCCACATGTCGCGGAGCGGCTGGCTCAGTGAGCCATGGCTGCTGAGCCTGTGCGTCCGGAGCCTGTGTTCCGCAACGGGAGAGGCCACCACAGTGAGAGGACCACATACCGCAAAAAAAGAAAAAAAAAAAATTAAACCAGAGTCTTTTCATCGCTGTTAAAACGAGTAGATATATGTATTTAAACCAGAGATCAGTTCTTGTCATTGCAAAGCAGCATTTATTATGTCTCAGATGCAAGTTTAACATCATTATTTGTGATTTATGATCTTCTTAAGACACAAGAACTTTATTTTTTTTAAAGAGATTGTTGTAGACTTTTTATAGAGGTCAGTGTGAACTTTTTAATTAAATTAATTAATTAATTAATTAATTAATTTATTGGCTGCATTGGGTCTTCATTGCTGCTCATGGGCTTTTCTCTAGTTGCTGCGAGCGGGGGCTACTCTTCGCTGCGGTGGGCGGGCTTCTCATTGCGGTGGCTTCTCCTGCTGGGAGTTTGGGCTCCAGGGTGCATGGGCTTAGTAGTTGTGGAGTGCCAGCTCAGCAGTTGAAGACACAAGAACTTTAAATGAAAATCTCACAAAGCATAATGGCCTTCAAAGATTTAAAAATTGTCCTATCAAAGAGGAATGAGGCTCCAGAACAGCAGATGGGACTAAAGAGGGAAAAGTATAAGGGAATGGATCAAGGCTTCAGGTAAGAGAAACATTAACGGTGCTCCAAGTAGAATAGCAGCTTTTTCTCGTATTGAATTCCTTCACTCTGGATCATAAAGGGCCTTGTGAAATGGCCAAGTAACTCTCCAAAATACTTCCATGTATTCTTTTTCATTTAGTTTCTTAGTGTCACTCTGAAATATGAAGATGAAGAGTCCAAGGATACTGAATCTTAGCCCCAGTTTATAAATGGCAGGAAATGAAGGCATTGGTCACACTAGTTACCAACAGCCAATCTAGACTGCAGCCTCAAACTTCTCACTTTCAAAGCCAAGGAAGACAAACCCATTTTTTATAAGTATGATGTATATTGCCTCTTGTGTATTTCAATAAAAGATTACAAGAATTTCATAAAGCAAAAACGTGAAGAATGATCAGATGCAATTTTGAGAAAATCATTGAACAATTCCTAAGCAAGGTATGTAAATATAACTTTGTAGCTGGTTAACTTGCCCTTTAGCATCTCTGAACTAATCACAGCTTCTCTGGAACACACAAACCCAATTATTTTTTTTAAACAGGTAAGAAATAAACCCTATAATACCTAAGTACTGCACAGATACCAAATTATTTATTTTATGTAAAAGAAAGAAAAAAGCAATTGCTTTTGCACAGAGAATAGATTTAAAGGAAGAGGAAGAAAAAAAAAAATACATGATTTTCCCCCCAGCCCCACCCCTTTCACAGAGGAGGAGGAAATATTGTAATGGTGTGGCTAGATAGAGACAAAGATATTTTGGAGCCAGAGGTCTCATTTCTTGGGAT